AACGAGAGACAGAAGAGCTAAGAAAGCGATTCAACAAGCCAGGAGCCTGCTTCCATTTATTGGTTTCTACATACAAGAATTTGAGTCTAGTTGTTTTCAAAGGTTATTTTCATATGTTTTAAACTAGCAGAGCATGATCTTCCTCAAATCACTTAAGCACACACAGAACATTTGAGGACGGTCATCATTTGATTGAGCAATTACCTTATTTCCATTCTCAATTAACTCCCAGTGAAGCTGAAGGGAGTCCAAAGAAGCTAGGCTTGACTGTGAATAGAATTAGGAAAACAACAGTCCAGAGATGCTAGCAAAAAGAAAAGCTAGGATCCTCCAATTACAAGATCAAAATGCCTTTCTTGCTGTTACACCAAAATATAAAGATCTCAGGCCATCTCACTCTTGTGCAGAGCAACAGACTTCCCCAGTGGAAACAACAGCAACCGCAGCAGAGAAAAACCAGTTTCAGCACATCCCTGTGTGAGAAAGCTAGGGGTGCTGCAGTCTTCGGAGAGGAATTCCTCATTTAGTCTGTTTTCCTGCCAGCTTGACAAAAACATATTTGCTCATTTATTCCGCCCTGTGAGTGTTCGTTCCAATTAGTTAATTGTGGAAGGACCAAGGAATTTCTCCCATTTTCATGGTAGATTATTCACCCCCAGCAGTTTGAAGAAATTAGTGGTGCTGTTTCCTAGCAGCAAGTGATGAAGCTGTAACCGAAGTACTTGGGTGCTTAATAGCCATGTATCATGGATAAGCTTCTACATCTCATCTAGTCCGCTGGTTTATTCTTAGTGCTCAATTTACACTTAGCCACACAGCATCCAGCCATTGTTAGCAAATCTATTTTGAACTCAGAGTGGACTGTATCCCATTATAAAACTGGCAATGGAAGAACTGGTCCTAAATCATAAAGTGAAAAAAATGGCTCTCAAGTTTATCCCTGCTCTGACGTCCTGCTAAAGGAAGGTGTTTACACCAACAAATCTGGAGCTGCTACGCTGGTTCCCAACAGATTCAAGTGGGACTGCTTTGATTTTGGTCCTGCTGCTGTGATGATTTCAGAAACAGCTGCTGCACAACTGAGGTGGGTTTATATATCTGATTTCTCTTCTCTTCCAGTTGCAGTGCTGGAAATAAATGCAGGATGTGGTGTAAGAATAATTATAATTTATTAACAAGCTATGGAATTGAAGGGGGGAAGCAGGCTGACAACCACTTCCAGGTGTCCCTGCCAATCCAGACGAGCAGGAATTCCCAGTAAGCAAATGGACAGGTATAACAGCTTGCCTCTCCTACGAGGAAGCAGGTGTGACTGAAGGATGACCGAGTTAAAAAGCTTCCTCACCTTGCTCTAACATAGTTGCTCATTCAGGGATTTGTGCATGTTTTGTTGTGTTGTTTGAACCACTCTGGATCAACTACAGAAGCAGGTAAGCTTAATAGCTTTCCTCAAAATTTCCAACTATAGCTGAGATGTTAAGGGATGCTACCTGTGCTTTTCAGTTTGTACTGCTGTTCCAGACAAATGCTACTACTGGATTGTCAACCCAAGTAGCCCAAATCACTGCCTATGTAATCTCTGAGTGACAGAATTTAAAAATAACCAAACCACCCTCTAAAATAGCAATGCAGGCCTCATTTTTGCCTAGCGCTTTCTTCAGCAGACCCAAAACTAACACTCAACTCCACTTTTCCAATATGAACTGGACAATGATGTGACTGCAGGCCATGAGAAATGAAGCCATAAGGCTCGCTTGCCAGATATCTTACCACTCCCTCCAACGAAAAAATAAAAATGCTAGCTTCCTTCCTAGAGGTAGAACACCATTACAACTTAAAGGATTACCATCGTATGATCCTAGCTTAAGTTGGAAAAAAAATAAAAGCTGCTGTGCTGCTTTTCTCATATGCTTCCGGTTGATGGTTAATTATTATAGAAAGGAGAATAACAGGGGGAAAATCTTGCTCAATCCTACACTGTTTTTAAAAGGTAGATGTAGTACTACTCAGTTTCAAATAAGGTAAGTCTACTACCCTCTCCTAAGAGCAATAATTTGCAACAGCCCTCCTGTAGCTGAGACAGAAAGTCTTGTGTATGTTTTGGTTTTCTTTGTTCCCCTGATGGGAACAGCTCTTCACTGGATAAAGCCTTGCACTAGAGGTTAAGCTTACAGCCTTCTTTGTTCACTGTACGGGACTCTCTAGAAAGTGATACGCTTTATTATGATTATGAAGCACAGATTAGAGTGCCTTACTTACTAGTAATGTCACATATGAATGCAGGAAAAGCAGGAAAATCCAGCTGCTAAAATGATAGGGCCTGAGGAAAACAAACTGCAATGCAGTCCTGCCTAATTTAACAGTTTGTAAATGTTCTAAGCGATGCCACTGTTTGCCACTAACATCATCCATTGTATGCTGTGGACTGTGGGTAC